AGTAATAACGACTCGAAGTAATCGGATGAAATTCAGGCTAACCTCTCCCCAACAGTATTATAAGCAACCTGTACAGTCATGTAGCTGTGAAAAGACATTTTCTCTATAAGCACTGATAAAGACTAAGTAATGTTCTTGTTAACTGGGCCGGGTGAACAAGCTTAGTTTCTACCTCATTCCCAGGGTCCTTTGCCTTCCTCAAAGCAAAAGGATCCAGGGTCCAATGTTGATCTTACTTTATGAAGCCTGTATCTCAAATAAGCTTCCCATTTTTATAGAAGGAAAATTAATAGGCGCCCCCACAAGTCTATTAAGGTTCCTCATTATTCATTCAAAATATTTCCCCGATTCTGATTGGCTAAAAGCACACGCATAATTCACCATAACCAGCTATTGATGACCAAATTTGAAAAAAGTTTGCAATAAATGAACCAATGACGTTAAAAGTGCAGCTTCCTTGCAGGTTAATGCACTGTTAACAGAGAAGCCCTGGGGATGAGGTTGAGTTGTTTTGGTTGTGAAAACAAAAATGGCGGATATTTCACTCGTTTCAAGATTAAGAACTAGGCAAAATCATAGCTAAAGACATGACAAGAACAACAAGAAGACAACTCGAAGGGCGAAATCTGCTATTTGGAGAATATTTGCGGAGCTGAACAACCCTAAACATGTGCACTATCGAGGATGAACTTAAGATCGATGGAGGTAAGCATGTTTTTAAACTGGGAATCATTTTGAATGAATAATGAAACAGTAATTGAATTCGGCTTTTGTATCACATGAAGAATTATGGAGATCTTGGAGAGTGTTATCCACCTCGGAGATAACACCCTCTTTGATCTCCATAATTCTTTATAACATACTCAGCCTCATTCATTATTGTTAAGTACCCTTTAATTTATTCTTTATACCAAATTAATAGATGTGATAGCCTTTATTTATTTATCAAGACACCACACTTCATGTGGACTTATCTGGTATCCTGGAAGTTATTATTATTTATCTTCTATCCATTTTACAGGAACCTTTATGATCAGAGCCATAGCTCTAACAGGGGGCAAGGGGGGACAGCTGCCCCCCTTGGACCTGTTGAGCTAGACACATCAAGTCTGTGGATGGGTTTGTTTTCTTTAGACTCAGTTATTTTAATTATAGTGACTTGCAGTTGTTTGCCATTTTCATATTCGAGGTCGATTTTTCAGGGACATATCTCATGACAAGCGCTAAAAATAGTGTTTCAGAGCCTCCCAATTTGAAAATGTTCCTTCGACATTCGTGATAATGCCCCCCCCCCCCCCCCACAAAAAACCCCCCCTTTGGCCCAAAAGATGCGCCGGGTTTTGGAAAAAACCATAAAAGGTCCTAAATCAAATCTCGGTTATAAGGAACAAAAAAATTTGGTGAATTTTAATAAAGGCTGTTTGAAAATGAAAAAATAATAACAAAAAAATTAGTATAGTATTACTATTCCC